GGTTGGCTTGACCTTGTTGTTCAGCACTGATTACGATCAATGGACGATCGCGAGCCGTGGTAGGTGCCTCTCGCAGCATCTCTGCTCTTTTCTCGTTTATCGCCGAATATGCCCAGTTTCTGGGTCATGATATCCGATCGTGCCTCGTACTACTGCTCATAAAGTTCAGCGAAAACTCTCAGTAATATCCCACCTTTAATATGTCTCAAATAAAACAGCACTTTTTTACCGAGGAAAAAAAAAACCTTTTTTCGTTACATTATTCCATTCTGCCGTTAATTTCGATTATTTCCTGGCTCTCTTATTGCCCCCCTTCTGTTAGCTCATAAATGCAGTGCATTTGGGAGCATCCCAGTAAAATCGCATTCCCACAGCAGCTGTGCTGAGCGATCCCTGTGGCATCTTTGGCTTGTTTCTTTGATATTTTTTGCAATTCCTAAAATCAGAAACAACAAAAACTCCCTCCTTGTTCACTGTCAATGAGAGAGGAAGATACTCGAGAAGTAGTCCGAGTGGTTATAGCAAATGCCAGTAGCAACTATTCGCTGGCTAGGCTGTCGATGGCTCTCTCTTTCGAAAGTTGTTCACAAGCAAGCTGATGGTGACTTTCACGGTGTGTTAAATGCTAAATGCTCTGGTTCGGTGCATCACATATAAATATTACTTTATCTGCTTTTGGGCAATAAAATTCATATTTTAAGCGATTATGATGGTCAGCTATTGATACATTAGAGCAGTCGAGTGTGTTTTGCTTTGGTCATTTCTTTGATGACCAAAGCAAACTTTATGTCCGTTGTTGTAGATTTCTTGCTAAAAAGTACCTGATTGTTGTTGCAAAAAATTCCAAATTCCAATTGCAAAATTTTGCAAATTCAAAATGCAAAGTGCAAAAATTGCAAAGCAAGAAAAAAGCAAAAAAAAAAAAAAATTGCAAAAATTGCAAAAAATTTCAAAAAAGTCCCATCATTTGTTGTTTTGCTTCTTTCTTGGCCGCTCCTTTCTCCTCCTACCCCTCCCCCCTTCCCCTCGTCTTTTGTTGTCCAGCTTTCGCTGCAAAGATTTACTGGAAGTCAGCCATATACGTATGGCAAGGCAGTCCGAAAGCAAATACGAAGCCGTCAGTGAAGGGCGGGAGTTTTTGGGATGTGAAGCTGTCTTACATCGGTTTACCGGTGGATAGGGATTCCGTTGTACAGCAACCCCTAGGGTGACATATAGCTAGAGGAACAATACATGTTTGTCTGTTGATAAAGTAATCTGTTGCAGTCCGTATCGAATTGGCGGTGATGTTGGTGGTGCATTTTCGCTTGGATTGGCTGGTGGATCGGTATTCCATGCTCACAGCGGCTTCAGGAATTCCCCCTGGGGCCACAAACTCGTCGGTATCCTACGTGAGGTAAGGCTTCCCGATAAATGAGTGTTCTTACATTGGGAAGAGTTTATACTTTATGGTTGTTCCTGGTGCAACAGCTGGCAATATCTTCATTCTTTTCACTATACTACCAGAGCTGTTGATTGATATTTTAAGGTATTATATGGACTGTAACAGTTTCTTCAGTTCTTCCTTGTGAACAGTTTTTTCTTATTTCCTCATCCTCCAGTTTTCTTTTTCCTTCATTCTAGCCCTTTCTACAGGTACGCACGAGGTCACCAGTGGTTGGTGGTCAGTTTGCTGCTTGGGGTGGCTTATTTAGCGCTATCGACTGCAGCCTTGTAGCTATCAGAAACAAGGTTTGTTGCTCTTTAAATTATGCATGACATTTAGCTCCAGATGCCGAAATTGCGTACGTCGTATTATCTGTCTAGAATGCCTGGAAAAGTTCTGGATTGATTTTTTGTGCAACCGGCAAGGGGAAGTTGCTTTGACAGTGCTGTGTTATCTGGTAATCATTCTGCTGGCAAACAGATTGCAGCTTTCAGGTCAACTTTGGAAGTGCAAATGGCAGAGTGTAAAGGTGTAAGAGG